CGAGCCATGTAAAGGATCCCCAGCCGGGGGCGTTTGTCTTTGGGTCAAGGGAGGATACGAAGCCACCTGCGAGGCGAAATGCGAATCTGCTTCCTCTTCGATCGGAGGATAATCATGGTGCGACTGCGTAGAGTGGGCGGTTGGTGGGTCAGGGAATGCATCCATGTCCATGCTGTAGTGTTCTTGAGCAGCGAAGATCCCATTCGAAGAGTGCTCGATGTCCTGCACATATTGCTGGTCTGGTTGCGGCTGACCAAATTCGCTGGTGTTGAACGACGGCTGTACAGTAGCAAAGTCGGGCTGATGCAGGGGAGCAAATCGGTCACCCAATGCTGGGGATACCCCCGGCCCGGCTTGCAGGACGGACGAAGGGATTGCGAGGTGAGCGTCTGCTGGTACCTTGCTAGGGGTGTCGAAAGCCCCAAGTCCGTGAATACGAGGCTCGGCCGTCACATCGACATGGTGTGGAGGAGAAACCCCCAGTTCATCGGTTTGGCAACCCCCATCAACCATGGACACCTGTTTTGAAGGCGTTTCCGTCGGACCATCGTTGGTCGGGTCATCGCTTGTGACCTCCTCGGCTTCTTCAACATCCGGGGTCGGCGATCGGCTTGCATATCTCCATGCGCTACTAAATCGACCAGCTTTGGGGGTTTTCCGCCCCTTGCCTTGAACATCGCCTCTGTCGTCGAACGGATCCGGGCCGCCCTCGAAGAGTGAGCCATATGAAATGCGCGCCCGCTTGAGGAAGGCTGGCGAGGCGAACTCTCCTGGCTCCAAGATGCCTTCTGCAGGACGTTTTGTTCGAAGTGTCGTCTCTGGGGTTGGATCACGGGGCGGCGTTATCGACCCTTCTGGGCCGTGATCTTGAATGGCGGCTGCCAGAGCGGCTACGTCTGACTTATCGGGCTGTTGTGCTTTGTCAAGGGGTAGATCGATATTGAGGAGCTTCGTGTCTTCATGGGCGACGCGCGCGACCTGTTGATGTCAGCTACTTGATCGAAACGAGTTGTTGGCCAGGGGAGGTGCCAGCCTACTAGCGCCAACAGCTTGTGATTGAAACGAAGCTGCCATTCCAACGGAGTGCCGATAGCAGGCATACGAGTATCCCGCGCGTCCCATACAGCTCCATCGAGACTAAGTGTCACCTCATCACCGCCTCCAAGACCAAGGTCCGCGACAGCCTTCGCGCTAGCACCTGTGAATTCGATTCGAACAGTGCCACGATCGCGGCGCAGTCGGAAGTCGGGTTCCGCAAGGATGAAGGCTATGACATCTCGCAAAGGGCTGTAGGGCCAGAAAACGGTGATTTCGCCGCGAATGACGCGCTTTGGAGCGTCCTGAAGCTCGGGATTCAATTCAGCTATTGCGGTGCCCAGACCCGCGCGTAGCTGCGCAGTCAGGTCATTCTCCGCCATGTCGTCATGGGTCGTCGGTTGGCCGCAAGGCGTCAGCGTTTGCGGTCGAAGGATGGTCAGGGTCTGTAAATCATCGGGCGTTGCGCGGGCGGCAAGGTATGCCACAGTTGAGGCCGACAATGATGCTCAGAGATGGGTTCTGGTGTCTCGCGGTGGTGAAGCAATCGGGTGTATTTGTGGAACGAGAAGAAGCTCCGAGTGAGATTGATTTGGGTGGATACCTAGGTAGTGCCTGCCAAGTTCCTCTGTTGATCGTGCCTGCCGTTTGGCGTCTGTGCGCTTGTTTGTACAGAATGGCTAAATTCAAGGCGATAAACATGCAGGATGGTAGGTGCCGTGCAAGTACCATCAAGGCAGGGAGAGACATCCTAGTTCGCTTCTCGAGGTCCCTACCTTATTCATGAGCAGTATATCCAGGCAGTCACTGGAGCCAACCCTCTCCTGGCACCACGTTCCTCTGGCTTTTTTCTTTGGCTTGTTTTGCTCAGGTAGATACCCGTCGAGCATATGTGCTGGTCTCTCACAAGCCTGGGCCAACAAGGCTCAAGAGACATCGACGTTACAGTTTGTACCTTGATGCAAACGTTTTGCTGTAAATCATCGCTGATGCGATTGAAGAACACCAAACGACGTCCAGAATATCATTTCCGCTATTCACGTCTTTCGCATCGTCCGAATATTGGCGGATGAGTCAGCATATACAGGGCGCCAATTGCTGCTGTGTCCATGATTCGAGTCACTCCATCTGAGGGCTTAAGTTGATGAGTTGATCTCTTCACTGTATCATCGGGCCATCACCATCTCAAAGGCATTCAGTCGTGTCGCCGCTCTTGATCAACTAACGGACTATTTCCAAGACGCCTACACCGGCACCTAGCAGTATACGCGGTCCTTGCTGGGTCTCTCGATGGGTTCTTACGCCCCTCTTCCATTCGATATCAAGAAGATCGCCATTATCGGTGCTGGACCATGTGGTCTTGCGGCAGCCAGATATTTGCTGGACCGTGATGTCTTTACATCAGTCGTCATTTTCGAACAACAGCACGAAGTTGGCGGTGTCTGGAATTACAGCCGAGACCCGCCCGGGTCGGTTCGTGTTCCTCAGACAGATCCATTTGGTCCTCCGGAGGCGCCTTTGCCACCACGGAAGACCGGTGGTGCACCCATATTTCCCTCGCCAATGTACGAGACGCTCCATGCCAACATTCCAGGCTCTCTCATGAACTACAAGGATCGGCCATTTCCCCAGGACGCCTGGGCCTACCCTTCACGCCAGACCATTCAGGATTATATTGGGGGCTATGCAGAGGACCTTCGGTCTCACATCAAATTCAACATTCAGGTCGAAAGTGTTGAGTTAACTCAAGAAGCTGAGAGAGATAGGTGGATATTGAAAGCCAAGTCAACCGTGGTCGATGAAACCATCAAGGAAACTTTCGATGCTGTAGTCGTGGCCAATGGTCATTACTCGGTGCCGTTTCTACCAGAAGTCAAGAACATCAAAGCCTTTCACACGACTCATCCGGACATTATTATCCACTCGAAAAACTATCGAACCCCGGAGCCTTTCGCCGGCAAAAGAGTTGTTGTGGTTGGGAACGGGCCTTCCGGGCTTGACATTGCGCGACAGATTACCGGCGTGGGTGCCCAGACGCTTATATCAGTCCGCAGTCCGACCCCGGCTGACAAACTTGAGCACGTCGGGGCGTCCGAGATTGCCGAGATTGTGGAGTTTCTTCCTGATCAACAGGCCATCCGGCTCAAGGACGGTTCGGTGCAGTCCGGCATAGATGCCATTATATACTGCACGGGCTTTCTCTTCAGTTATCCCTTCCTCCCTGGGCTCGCGCCCAAGCTCCTAACCAAGGGCAAGGGTGTGTTCGGGCTGTACAAGCACCTGTTCCTGATACAGCACCCGACGCTGGTCTTCCCAGGGTTGCTGATGAAGGCGGTTCCATTCCCGCTGTCGGAAGCCCAGGCGGCTGTCGTGGCGGCCGTGTGGTCCAACTCGTTGCTCCTGCCACCCGTTGAAGAACAAGAGAAGTGGGAGCGGGGTCTCCGTGAAGAGAGGGGCGAGAACCTACACACGTTTCCGACACATGGCGGGGATGGCCTGTATATTAATGAGTTGCACGACTGGGCACTGGAGGGGTCTCCCGCTGGGCTTGAGGCACCGTTTTGGAACGACGAGAGCAGGTGGGAGCGCAGCATCTTTGCAGATGCCAAAGTACGGTTTGAGCAACACGGCACGCAGGCCAAGACGTTGAAAGAGCTGGGATTCGTGTACCCCGGAGAAGGGCACTGGTAGGGTCCTGGTAGGGTCCGTCATCCCATGTCTACAAAACATGGGATGAACCTAGGCTTGCCTGCGGCAGACCTGCCATATCGGGTGGATCGAGCAAACTTCATGACCAGGAAGCTGGATGAATCGCAGGCCCAGGCCATAGTATCTGGAGCAATTGTTGCTGCGGTGAGATGCGAGAAAAGGACTGTCGGGCGCAGCATCCTGAGAATGTTTCGAACAGGATCCATTGGGGTTTGTGCATAATGCAGCACAATGCAAGCCAACTCTACTGTATGTATACTCCACCTATTATGGATCACCTCATCAGCCCAGCGCTGGCAGTGGAGCAGAGAGGCTCGCAAAGACCCCTGTCGCATAATCACCCATGGCCGTATTGAGATGCAAGATCCAATGGTGCTGGCGGTACGCGAATCAATCTCAGCAAATCTCATTAAAACCCTTCTGTCTAGGACAGCCTGACCCGGTGACCGATTGCTGGCGACCCAGCCAGAGTCATCAAACAACTCCTTTCCTCTGATCTCGCACCTTGACAACCTCCCGTTTGCTTTGGGCGTTTGTTCGTTCCTTCTCTTCTCTGCGTCAGTGTCTTGCAGCAGCGGCGATCCCGGGGGTCGTGCTTGCTCACCTTACGTGACTCTGGGCTGCGTGAGCCCTGTTTTCATCCCGGTACCCGCATTGCATCGTGGGGAAGCTGCCACCTGCGCGCGTTGTCACTGCCTGATGAACCCTTGCGACATTCCTCTCAGCCACTCCTCCCGCTCCTTCAGCCCACCAACTCGAACACAGGCCGCCGACATCATCAATCTAGAGCACCGCCGTTGCCTCGTGTCCACACAAGGTGCGACCGGTTTCACAGACCACGTTCTTCTGTGCCTGCCTGTCGCCTGCCGTCTCGTCACCTAGCGGCGACGCCTGTCGTTGCACAAAGAAACGAGAGGGCCAGTTGCTTCAGGAAAGGCGAGCCAGAGCGATCCTCCCCCCCATCCGATCAACCTACCTACCTACCTACCTTGCCGAAAGCATCCAGCACCAACACCCACGCCTACGCTCATTACGAGAACTCTCGAAACCTGTCCTACCACTTCCACCCGAAACGTCGTCCTCCAAGTCAACCTCATCTTCGACAACGATGGCCTTCATCAGCCTGCCCGCTGCCTCTCCGCCGATATAACAATCCGCGAGCCATGCCTGACGCCACCGAACGCGTCACATCGGACGGACGACTAACCTGACCAACCAACAGCAGCAGCAGCAACAAACACCGCCAAACCGCCATCATGTCCGATCGCAATCCTCTCAAAACCCCCGTACCGCCGGGGCCTGGCTACAAACTCAATCCCGTTACCAGGCGCCAGTACCGCTTGTCCGACGAGCACTCCCCCACGCGCCAGCGCCTACACGACGACCTGCTCAGCCAGCTGACGCCCTTGTCTGCAGTCGATGTCCTGGACCATCCCACACCCTCACTGAAAGCATGTCTCGATGCCGCTACAGCTAACGAGCGAGATTTTGTTATGCGGACGGCTGTAGCGAGCCAGAAGATCTACGAGTGGCTCGATGAGCTCCTCGAATGGCCATGGCCTGCCGATGGCGGCTCAGCCGGCTTTGAGGCGCCATCTACGACCAGAAAGAAACTCTTCTTAAAGGAGACGATTCGCTGCGACAACAGAGACAGCAGTATCTTCCTCGGCAGCCTTGCCGCCGATGATGTTGCGGCCTACGACGACCGTGTCGAACAAATTTCCCACGAGCTGGACGACCTAGAGCTCGACGATATTAAGACGCACGTCTTGCACAACCACATTCTCCCGCTTTCAAGACCTGGGACCCCTTTGTCCGACACTGGCCGTCCAATTGTATCCATGGCAACTTTCAACCGGCTAGACGACCTGGCTGCTGTGATCACAGCAATCATCATGCAAGCCCTTCCAAATCTTTCCAAGCTCAGCCGTATGCTGAATACTTGGCGAATTCGGATCACCGTGCTGCGTGGCATTCCATCACTTCTCGCCGCCATAACCGACGCTGAAGTTGCGCTGGAGTCGGGATGGAGTGTCATTTCAGCACCACCAAGAAACCCCGTGTCAGCACTCGGCAGCCCTGGCCAGGAACCTGGATTGACCAATGCTGAGTTTGACATAATGAAGGTAGTTCTGCAGAAGAAGATCACGAGGCCTGGCCGTGACCTCGATGCTATGCTAGATAGCCTTGAGGGTCAGACTGATACAGTCCCCGAGAGCTGGATCGATCGCATGGAAGCCACAGAGCATGGGTATGCTGCTTGGTATGTGGCATGTGAGCGAAAGATCCGAGAGGCAGAATGGGCCAAGACGGCACGGGCCAAAGCTGCCATCAACCCTCCACAAAAGCCAATGCAGAAGGCCACGACTGGGACGATTGGAGATGGTTCTCCCCTTAAGCTACGGGATTCGATATCATCAAGCAGTACGCGCGCGGCACCTGTACCCATCACCATTCAGCCTCCGATTGACGATGTCGTCGACGATGTCTCATCTGACAAGGATACCGAAACTCAAACAAGAGACATGACGCCTCCGAAGACGCCTGTTAAGTCGCAGCGACTCTCGGCAACACTCGAACCCAAGGCTCAAGACATGAACTCGTCTTCGGGGCACCCCTCCCGATCTCCTCTCCGGACACCCGTCTCATTTCACAAGCGGTATGAAAGCTATGACGGCTCGGCAGATGATGTTGATCCGGTGAAATACGACGTGCCATCCCCTTCGGCATTCAATGGCACACAGACTGCAACTCTGAGCCAAGTTCTAGGCTCACCATCCCATACTCCGGTTTCCCAACAAACACATAAAGCGTTAAACGCTCAGATCCTTGAGGATACTGGTCAGTCATCTCCCATTGATAGTCCAGGAGGCAGCCCAGGTTTCTCTGCCGGCTCAGATGACGAGCCAGAGTTGCCGCCACTCATTCACGGCGGCCGACGCTCCAGCTCTGCTTCTTGCTCTTCGACTGTGATTCATGGGTTTGCCAGCCAGGATGGCTTCAGCGACATGCCTGAAATCTCCGCTTCGCCACCGCTGCCTCGCAAGCCTTTTGTTGAACAAGGCAGTGACTTGCTTTCGCCGCCTGCATCCGATGGACCAGACACATCAACATTCCCGGAATTCGCCCGACGAAGAGACACGTCTTACTCTCGTAGCCCGTCCAGCTCACCCCCACGTCCCAGTTATAGGGACGACAGTGCCGGCCCGATGGTGGGACCCATCCATGATGACGACGACCTGCAATCCTCTTCATTCATCGAACCATCATCTTCCTTCATCGAGGAAGATCTTGATGAGACCGTCTCATATGTTGGAAGCCCTCACAGAAATTCGATCGGAGGTGACGAGCACCTTAGACAGCAAATCAGCGACATTTTGCAGTCTATCCCTGCCAACATCAAGCTTGGATCTACTCCTAGCAGGGTCAACCTTAACCCACCTCCACCGGACCTACCTTTTCAAAAGGCCAAAAAGCCTCTCCGGGATCCCATTCGACGAAGCGCGTCTAACCTGTCATCTCGAGCATCGACGCGGGCCTCTACCCGTGCATCCACTCCAGCCTTTCTGCTGGCGCCGGCGTACGGCAAAAATCCCCGCCCTAAGCGTCAACAAGGTACCGACACCAAAGTATATCACCTATCGCGATCCACTGGCGAAGCCCCAATTAAGCTACTCATAAGATGTGTTGGCGAGAACGGCGAGCGTGTGATGGTTCGTGTTGGTGGCGGTTGGGCCGACCTGGGCGAGTACCTCAAAGAGTATGCTACACACCACGGACGAAGATCAGGGAATCCCGACGCCAATACGAAGATTGAGGTACGCGACCTGCCACGTGTAGCGACTTCTGCCAGAGCATCAACGGCCAGTCCACCGGGTCGGCCAGTGTCTGCTATGGAGTACTCTCCCGTGGCGCCATTGAATGTTCGCAAGACTAGGAGGTCTTTCGGCGCCAGCAGCCTTGGTGAGAGGTCTGCCGCTATGGCATCGTCTGCTAGACCACCCGCCCTGCCCAAAATGCCGCAGACACCTGCTCCGCCGCAAGAGGCTTCAGGGCAGGATGGTCCATCGTCAGATGGATCCTCAAGGTCAAGATCCAGCTCCCATCTGAGCTGGGCAGAGGAGGACACGTCGCTGGGCCTTGCGGGCCCCACAGGTCGCAAGGTTGAAATGAGCGAGGAGAGCAAAGCTTGGGTGGAGAGCGTCAAGCAGAAAGTGCGCATCGCCAGCGGAGAGCGCAAACCAGCAGAGGATGGACGGTTTGGGGATATGGGTCGCGTTGGCGGCACGAAACGACTGTTCCGGAAAGGATGAACTGGTTACAGTAAGTAAGCGGCAGAGCGGACATTCATTTTCTAGGGCAAAGGAGCGGACCAGGGTGGCACGTTGGGGAGCATGGCGTGCGTTGCATATCGAAGCGAGCCGGCGTTTGGAAGCCGATACGACACCACACAAAACTAGACGAAACACAGCACCTACTGCACTTTCACTGGCTGACACGCCATCGACACATACACACCTACCACACACATTCATTCAACCTTCCTACCTTCGTTCATACGATCATTCTACTACCATATCTCTTTTACTTTTGTATTTTCCCTGGCGCTGCATGTTTTCTTGGCGGCGGCTCATTGTTCATAGCACAGAGCATACAATACCCATTTTCATTTTTCTGTCAAAGCAGATATTCGAGGTTATGACAGAGCAAGTTAGATAAGCTTCGGGCTAGAGAACCAGCATGTCGTACTTCCGAGCTTTCGATATCACCATGTGCATGGGTCACTGCGGCGTGAATGACATACGATGCACTGTAATAGTGTGGGGTAAAGTTCGTCAGCGTTCGTTCTATCTCTAATGATGCTTTTCGTGGCATGGGCTACGAGTTGGTACCAGCAGCAACTGTAGCCTTCATCTCAGCATAGACCCCCCTGGCCTCTCCCGCCAGCACCTCCTTGGCATACTCCTCGAGGGTGCGCGGCTCAAAATCGGGGTACAGCTCGCGCGCGTCGAGGTAGCCGAGATACGCCGCCATCTCGGGCGTGTTGTCGCGCCGCAGGCCCCAGCTGTTCCAGTACTCAAATTGTGCGCGCTTGAACCACTCGGGGCTGCCGAGGGCAAGGTCAGCTACCGACAGCACCTCGCACGTCGTCGTGACGGTCTGCGCGTCAATATACGCCCGCTCAATCGTCTCGCCGCTCAGCCGCTCGAGAAGGTCAAAGACCTCGGTCTGCGAGGTCAGCGCGCCAAAGCCAAAGACGGACCGGTTGAGGGTGCGCGGGTCGAGGACGGCGAGCGCGAGCAGGCGGCCGACGTCGTCGAGGTGGGTCTGGGCGAAGCGCGTGGCCCCGTCGCCGACGATGAGGTCCGGCCCGCCGACGTGGGCGTAGGCGTTGCGCTTCGAGGGGAGCAGCGGCAGCGTCAGCTGGTACCACCAGCCAATGTCGAGTATGGTGTAGGGCAGGCGCAGCTTCTTGATGTGGTTCAGGTTGTCCTCCTTGATGTCGCGCAGCGAGAGGACGCCCTTGGGCGGGGCGATCGGGGCGAAGAAGCACGGGACGAAACGGGCGATGCCGGCGGCCTTGGCGGCTGTGGCGAGGGCGGGCTCCGAGGCGAGGCCGGTAAAGTTGACGGCGGAGACGAGCGTTTCGAGGCCCGCGAGGGCCGTCGCGAGGGCGGTGGGGTCGCTCGTTAGGTCCAGGGGCTGGACGTTGATGCCGCGGGTGCGGAGTGCCTCGTTGGCCGAGCTCTGGAGAGAGGATGGCCGAGTGAAGGCCGTGATTTCCTGGTGCAGCTCGTTAAGGTTTGCCGAGCGAACTTTGGCCGAGGCATGCTTACAAAAGGGTGAGGGTGCTCAAGGAGGCCATTGACGATGGAGGCGCCGGTCTCGCCGGTGGCACCAAGGACTCCGATCTTCATGGTATAGGTTTGAGTTTACGCCGGCGAAACTAGATGTGAACAAAGTCGTGATCCGCGATCCGGACGTTCGGCGACAGAAAGGTGCCGAACGACAGCTCTTTAAACAGGTTTGCCTTGCTACATGCTTGGTGTTTGTCACAGCGACGATTCAAAGGTCTCCCCACATGACAAAACTCCGCCAGGTCCGCTCCGACGGGCCCACTTCTCCGCGACGGAGACCGTCTAGGCTCCGAAGTCTGACACGAGACTGCCGTGCGCATGCTTGTCAATCTTCAATCCTGCAATGTCATCATCTCGACAACCCGGATAGTCTGCTAGCCTGACCAGTTTGGCAGCCTGAGAAAGCTCCGGGTCAGTTCCGCCCTCGGCATGACAAGCTTGTGCGTCTTTATAATCATTATCAAGCTTAATAATAGCAGAGGCACGATTTTAATAACTGCTCCGAATGAGCTTCGGATACTTCATGTAGGGACCATGCGTATTCTCCACGCTCAAGATTCGAGATCCTAAGGCGTCAGCACCCTTGTTACAAGTGCCCGTCTTGAGCCCTCTTGGAGTCCAGCGACACCCATCGATACAAGTGCTGCATTGCGGTCCCAGCAAGCACAAAATCCCTGGAAGTCGACCTGATAGAGAAGAGAGGCATTACATTTAATGCCGGCCGGAGGTGGGCATGTCACACACAGAAAATCCGGGATGCGGAATTTCCATGCGCTTGCTTTCCGAAATCCCGGCCTCCAATCCCCAGGTACTGCCTTTGAATTCCTCCTGTAACATCGAGCCTCCCGTCAATGCCCATGTCATTCACTTCATCGCTGTGAGAAATAATAATGATAATCCAATTCATAAATACTTGTATTAGCTCATTGGAGCAATCTATCCCATCAGGTACCTTCGTAAAGATAAGGTCCGTCTAACCAAAAGTAAAGCTATCTCAACTCTTGAGATCCGAAAGGTTGGTATCTTATATATGCCTTCCCAATCCTGAGGATCAGGCGCTCGGCATCGCGTGGCGTCGCGCGCTCTGCCAGAAACTATGATTCTGTGGCGCAAATGTTTTCCTTCTCTTCATCGACGAATAATCATGTGCAGCGCCAGTCAAATTCAACCGCTTACACCCGGGAGACACTGCTTCTCCCCTCACTCCATTTTTTTTGTTCCTGCCAGTGCGTCTAGAAGCGGGCCTTCTCGGTACCGAACGACATGGGGTCATACATGCGGTCCTTAATGTAGGCAGTCAGGGCGACATCGCCCCACTCTTCCCACTCGACCCACTGGGATTCAGGGAGCTTTGAGACGCCTTCCCTGCGGGCAGCCTTCATGACTTCACGGGCAACGACCAAGCTAGCGTCACGGACACGCTCAATGCTGGGGTAGATGAGGCCCTTGTGGAGTTCTTCGGCGTTGAGTGACTCGGCGAGCGCAGCAGCCGAGGTGTAAACCATCTCATCGGTGACGTGGGTGGCCTTGCAGAGGATGGCACCGAGACCAAGGCCGGGGAAGACGTAGACGTTGTTACCCTGGTTGGGGTGGTAGGTGATGGCCTGGCCGTCGGGGGTCTTCATGGTGAAGGGGGAGAAGGGGGAGCCCGAGGCGAAGATGACGCTGCCGTCGGTCCACTGCACAGCCTGCTCAAAGGTGCACTCAGCCTTGGTGAGAGGGTTGCTCAGAGGGAACAGGATGGGACGGCGGCCAAGGCCGCCAGAGTCGACAGAAGCCTTGAGAGCACGGACAGTGGACTCGGTGAAGACGCCAAAGGTGGCCGTGAGACCAACCAGGGCCGACGGCTTGACGTACTCGATGACCTCCTCAAGAGTGCGGAACTGGTGGCCGTTGTTATCGGTACGAGCGAAGTACTTCTTGTGCTCGGCCAGGTTGTCACCACGATCACGGGTGACAAGACCCTTGGTGTCGACAAGCCAGAACTTTTCACGCGCCTGCTGCTCGCTGAGGCCGCGGCGAGTGTAGTACTCGACGAGCTGCTTAGCAACACCAACACCAGCGGAGCCGGCTCCCATGAAGACCAGCCTCTGCTCCTCGAGAGGAACGCCAGACAGGTTCACAGCACCAATGTAGCCACCGAGAACGACAGCTCCAGTGCCTTGGATGTCGTCGTTGAAGCAGCGGTACTTGTTGCGGTAGCGGTCGAGGTAGTTGAACGCCTTCTCAGTGTCAAAGTCCTCAAACTGCACAACCATGTTGGGGAACACCTCAGTGGCAGCCTCCATGAACTCGTCCATGAACTCCTGCTGCGTCTCCACAGACACGCGCTTGTGACGGAGACCGAGATAGAAGGGGTCCTTGAGGTTGTCCTCGTTGTTGGTGCCCGTGTCAAGGACGATGGGCAGAGTCTTGGAGGGATTGACACCAGCGGCACCGGTGTACAGGGCTAGCTTGCCAATCTGTGAAGAGTTAGCTGGGGGGTCCCGTGACCATGGGATGCAAATTTGGCCTACCGAAATGCCAACGCCGTTAACGCCGAGATCACCCAGGCCCAGAATCCGAGAGCCGTCGGTAACGACACAAATCTCAGGGTCGGGGTAGGGCCAATTCCTCAGCATGGTGCGGATAGACTTGCGCTGCTTGATGGAGATGTAGAGGGCCTCGGGGCGCGTGTAGAGGGAGGAGTACTGGAGGCAGACGTCGCCAATGGTGGGGGTGTAGACAAGAGGCATGAGCTCGCGAATGTTGTCGATGAGGACGCGGTAGAAGAGGTCCATGTTCTGGTCCTTGAGGGTCGAGAGGTACATGTACTTGTCGATGGGCGTTGAGCGCGTGTTGATCATCTTCATGGCGCGGGCGCTCTGCGTCTGGATGCTCTCCATGACGTGGGGGATGAGGCCAGTGAGGTTCTTGGAGACACGGTCATCGGGGGTGAAGGAGAGGCCTAGACATGTCAGTCGGGGTGGAGAGAGGGAAGGGGAAGGCGAAGAAGGAGAGAGGGAGAAGAGAAGGACGAGACTGACCCTTGTTCCACGCAGGCTCGCGGAGGACCTGGTAACCGCAAGCTGACGACTTGGGGACATAGTCGGTGCTGCGGTACTGTTGGACCTCGCCGTAGTGGTTCTGGGCATAGCCCCGGTGCTGGTCGAGGGCGGCGGCCTTCATCTTTTCTTCAATGGCGTTGATGTCGACAGAGTTCATAGGGTTGAAGTCTGTCATTCTCCGACTGGATATGGAGGTACGCTTAGTAGATATAGACGTGCGGGAAGAGCGAGCGGAGATGACGGACGATGAGGAGGCGGGGGAGGATGACCGAGGCGTGGATATATCAGAGCTAGCAGCACTGTAGGGATACGACGCCATTGAAGAGGTGGAGGTGTGATTGGGATTAGGGGTGGAGGAGGACGGGACGGAGAGGGTGGTGGTGGTGGTGTTGGTGTTAGTGTTGGGAC